CTTGATGGGCCGGACTTGATGATGCTCAGGGTCCCTTCCAGCGCAGCAGTTCTAAGGCTGTTGTTATTATTATTGTCTTACATCCTTAGTCTGAAGGCACTAGATGCTGTTATACTTTTAAACCGAATCAGGTTTCTGCTCCAGGTGTGACTTCTAGATACTCAGTAAAGCTCACTGCCATCCATACGTGTTGAAAAACAGCCCTGACCATTGCTTTGTGTTTGGGCGAGAAGTGGTTGACTGATGAAAAAAGGAGTCAGCTTCTGGAAGTGAGCAGAAGAGGGGATCCTGTAGACCATCTTGACTGCTGCCATGGGTGTTCTCAACATTCTTTCTGCTCTTTGCTATGCCAAGCTTGGCATCCTTTTCCCTCTTGGCAACACAGGCACAATATTGTGCACAATATTGGGCCATTCCCTTGCTTTTAAATCATGGGTACAGAAGCATAATATGACACATTCATAAACCAGTGTGTGTGTGTTTAAGAATTGAATATACTGTCACAAGGCTACTGCGGTGTTCTCAACATTCTTTCTGCTCTTTGCTATGCCAAGCTTGGCATCCTTTTCCCTCTTGGCAACACAGGCACAATATTGTGCACAATATTGGGCCATTCCCTTGCTTTTAAATCATGGGTACAGAAGCATAATATGACACATTCATAAACCAGTGTGTGTGTGTTTAAGAATTGAATATACTGTCACAAGGCTACTGCCTATCAAGCACCCTTGCTTTTGAATCACGGGTACAGAAGCATAATATGACACATTCAAAAACCAGTGTGTGTGTGTTTAAAAATTGAATATACTGTCACAAGGCTACTGCCTATCAAGCAAAGAATTCAAAACACCTCTCTGCCTCTTTTGACCCTTTTCCTCCAAAAACATAGCATCCCGAAACTGAAAATCATGTCCTGCATCTCCTGGACCCTTTTTCATTTCATAGAGACAGGGTAGTCTGAAGAAATGATTGATTTTGGTGGAAATGTGGTCCTCAATGTACATCCAACGGTGGACCTAAATTTTGGGGGCCCTAAAGCTTGAACTGCTATGGGGACCCTGTTCTCAACCAGCAGCGAGGTCTAGGTAACTGCTGTTGTCGTCTTCAATGAGGTTGTTTTAAAAATGTCAATTGAAGTCACTTCTGGGCATCTTCCAGGATTACTGTAGGGCCCCCGCCGCATAAGCTTCATTTGTTTCATAGTAGATCTGCCCCAGGTACAACTCATGGGGAAAATCTTCATGGAATGTGAAAGATCTCCATTCTATCAGCCTTGATGCATATGTAGAGGCCCGCAGAACCGGAAAGAGGGGAATAAGCTGGCCCATTCCCCTTCCTAATATGTCAGTTCAACATATTTGCATCACAACGCAGTGGGACTAGAGGGGTATCATATCATTGTGAAGAAACAGGCATGGAGTTTCACCAGAGATGTTGCAGGAGTAGCAGTTGAATGAGAGGCGTGTGGCTGCTGTTTTTGTTGGTTACCTTGCAGTTCTCCCAAAATCTGCTTCCAGGCTGAATTTTCTAAAGAAAAAAAGAGATCAGAAAGTAATCAGTTGATAAACAGATGCCTGGTTGTATGAACAGGAGGGGGGAATGTGCCCCACTGCCAACGCACACATGTGCTGTAAAGGGAAGGGCATGTAGGAGAAGACTGGGAGGATGTCACTTACCCTATTTTGTTTGACTTCTTTCGAACTTGGCTTTGGAAATGGATAACCTTGGGCAGTTCGAAACTGCTTATCCACAAAGCTGCCCGGAGCTTTGCTTTTTAAGAACAGTATAATAGAGAGAGCAAACAGATTTATTAGGTCTCTTATTCAGTGCATTTGTTTTTCATTAAACATTCTGATAGGGTCTTATTAAAAAGGGGGCCATGTTTTATTTATCAGGCTGCCTCTGTAAATGGGCTGAAGAAAGAAAGAAAGAAAGAAAGAAAGAAAGAAAGAAAGAAAGAAAGAAAGAAAGAAAGAAAGAAAGAAAGAAAGAAAGAAAGAGGTTGAGATAGAATTTATCTGCTTAGGGCATTTCCTGAATAACATGTTTACTGTGCTGGAAAAGAGAGGGGGTAGGTTGAGATACTACTGTCAGAACAAGAGACTGCTTAAGGCAAGAGGATAGAATAGATGGAGGAAAAAAATGCGAAAGTAGCAATAAAAGACTTCATTTTATGTTAGCTTTTCCTCCCTTTCCTTTGTGTGTGTTTCTGTATGTAGGCTTTTAATTCCCCCCCCCTTTTTTTCCCCTTTTTGCATTATAAATTAATTTGTGCTGTTCAGCCTCGCTGTGATACCCGAATAGCTCCAGTTCCCGATACACTGCAAAAGCATGGACTCCTCGCGCACATGAAAGAAACCCCTCTTTTTTGTAAGTCCAAGTGTTTCTTATTTTTAAGGGTTTAATAGGGTCGCATTGGGATGGTGCGGGTTTGTTAAGACAGTCGTTTTTTTTTCCCCCAAAGGAAGTGAAATATTTTGGGCATAATGGGCCTTGTTAAAGCTAAGTGGGTGGGGTTGGTGCAGTAAGATTGCTATAGGGGATTTGTGTGTGTGCGTGTGTGCTTTTTTCTTTTCTTTTTAAAAAGATGGTCTTTTGAATATTTGCACCTCTCAGTATGCAACAGCTAATTTCTTGTCAAGTTGAACTGTTTGTCTGAATTACTGGAATCCTCTAGGGAGGAATTTGCATTTTTTGGTTCAATTAATGGATTGGGAAAGAAGCCTTTTTTACTTAAAGGGAAATCTGTGTCCTTAAATGAGTGGAACTTATTTCCCTCTTTTGCAAGCAGACAGCCAAAAACCAGCGGAGGGGACCTAATGGGACAAAAATATATCTCTGTGTGAATTTTATGGTGTTTGTTCCTTCAAGGTTCCCTTGCTTGCTTGAAATCCTAGTTCCTTTTGCTTCTGCACCTGTTTGTTTAAAGTTGTATATTCTCAACGAGTGTTTGAAAAGTTCTCCCTTTTTCTCTCTCTCTCTCGAAAGAGAACCTCAAAAGCAGAAGGGAAATCCTGAGGCAAATTCTTGCAGATTCAGCTGCCTTCTAGATGAATTAATAATGCAACAAATTTGTCAGGATCCATTTTGAACAACATTACCGGGTTGGAGATGAGAAGGGGGTCGGTTACACCTCAGTAACGCAGCCATGTGTGCAGAGGAAGGAGGTGGGGAGGGAAATTTGACCTCAAGGACAAATTTTTGATCATCAGTGATTTAATTTACAGATCACAACCTATTTTTATTACACAGAGACTAACTAGCTTTTGCTAATGAATAATGATCACTCCATAAAATAAAAGGGGAAAAACCAGCATGCAACAACGGCATGCTAATTCTGATGAGGTGTGTTACTCTCTCCTAAGTAAAAAAGTAAACATTAGGTTCTCCCTCCCGTGACTAATGGTGTTTGCTCATGTAACCTGACAGAATCGCGGGCTGTAATGGATGGCCTTTCCGACCCATTTCATGAGACGTCTGTCTGTCTGTTTGCCCATCTATTTAGGTATCTGTGCATGCGCATATGTATACATGTATGTGCACATGTGCATGAGAGAGAAATAAGTGACAGGGAGAGAGAAAGAGAGGGACACAAGAATATAGGGTTGGGTCTTTTATACTTAGGACCAGGGGAGAGGAAAAGACTTTGTTAAGTTATTTTTTTTTAATTCCTTGCGATTCCACAGCAACGTTCTAATTTTTCACAGTGGTTAATGATTTTTTTTTTAACAAGCTGCTGTGGAAATGCAGAAAGAGAAAAGTGCAAGCCATATTATGGAGAATGATTTCTTTTTAAAAAGTGGGACAGAGAGAGAAAAAGACAGAGAAGCATACAGAGGCTTTGAACTCTCAATTCTTTAAGGTGGCTGTTTGTCTAGTTTTGTCTTAGATGTGTGTATATATGCTGATTTCAGTTTACTCAGGGCGAGGTGGGACTTTTAGACCCTGGAAAGCCATCTCCCCAAATACGGTATCGAAGCTAGAATCAGCCTCACCTTCTCTTTCTTCTCTCTCCGTGCAATTAAAAAAAAGAAAAGACTGGATCTATTTAGAAGCCAAAAAAAGGGGGCTCTGTGTAAGATGGAGTTTGAGCTTTCTTTTCAAATCAGGCATGTAAAGCCCATCTGTGCGCACGCTCGCGTGGTGCGTCTTTAGAGGAAGGGCCAGATAGAAGGTGATCCAAGATGTGTACAATCTGGAATGTTTAACTTTCTGTACTTTGGACACACGGAATTCTTCCTCTGCTTCCCACACAGAGCCCCTAAAGTTCCATCTTTCCTCTTGCTTTAGAAAGAGGGATTCCCATTTTCTGTTTGGCACAGAAAAAAAAAGGAGAGAGAACGAGAGAGAGAGAGAGAGTTTCTGTTTGGCACAGGAAAAAAAAAGGAGAGAGAGAGAGAGGATGGGGAGGGGTGCTTGTGTTGAATCATAACAGGCTTTCCCGTCCCAGCTGGACAGTGACATTAATTGCTCCAAATCTCACGTCTATGCGGAGAGCCGTCTCTCCATTCCTCTTTCTCTCTCTGTTTCTCCTTCTCTCTTTCCGCTCCTCCACCTTCTCTGGGGATATGATTTCTTTTTCTTAAAAAAAAAAAATTGCAGTTATTTGAATTTTTGGTGTGTGGCAAAAGGATCCTACCCGGGCTAGGACCCATTTGACAAATGAGAGGAGCTGAGTAGCATCTCTTTTTTTTGCACCAGAAGGAGTCTCTCGGAATCCCTCCCGCTGGCTGGCTGGCTCTGTACAAGAGAGCAGCTTCTATGTGGAGAAAAACCCTTCACGCGCCGGATGTCACCGAGGGGGTGTTTCAGTCGCTCAGCTTGGAGGCTGTAGGCTGTATTCTCTGCTTTGCTTATTAAACCACTTCCACCACCACCGCCACCCCTGTTTTCCTTTCTACCTCTCTTGGGTTTTATGTTTGTTTGTTTGTTTCTGCATTCAGGGAGGGGGGGACAGAAAGAGAGAGAGAGAGAGAACAAAATATATGTATCTCTCTCTATATATATAATGTACCAAATGGCCTTCTCTAGGACTTGAACACTGGGGTTTGGCAAGGGAGCCAGAGGTACCACCAAGAAAGATCAGAAGAGCATCAGGCACTGTGTGTGGGGGGCTCCCACCCACTATTTATTTTTTTAAAAAAAAATATTTAGGGGGCATGTGCACTTAAAAGAAGACCTCTGAGCCAGCGAGAGGGTGCTGGTGCTGGTGGTGGCATCGCTTGGGGTGTGGGTGTGTTGAAAGAACAACAGAGAGGAAGGCAGAAGCAGCAACCTCCTCGCATTGGGGTGAGTCGGGGGGGGGACGAGCGACGTGCTTGCATGCAAGCCCCCTCAGTCCTCCAGCGTCGAGTTCAGAGCAGCACCATGCAACATCCGCTCACGGGGGCGACCTGCGTGGCGCTTCCGAACGTCGGCATGTGTCCCCAGCTGTCCTGTGCCTTGACTTTCATGTATCTGCAGCAGGTAAGACAAGTCAACTTTGCCATCCTCTCCTCCCTGTGCGCTTCTCAATGTCTCTCTCTGTTCTCTCTCTCTCTCTCTCTCTGGTTTGGCCATTCCCTCTGCTTGTCACTGTATTGTCTCTACCTCATGGGCTGGAAAGAGCTTTTTCTGCCTGAATGGGATGTGTAATTATCTTTCTTGCGTGTGGTGGACTTGGGCTCTGCGCTTTCTTAATCACTGATACATATTTTTATCCTTATGCCTACGAGAAGTGAATTTTCTGCTCCTGTCCTTCAGGGCGACAGCCCGGCTGCCTTTGATTTTTTTAAATATGTGGAAGTACTTGTCCTTTTTATTTATTTATTGAGGACTGGCTGGCTGGCTGGTGGCTGCTCTCGTTCCTAGTGGCTTTTCTTTGGTGCGGTGGAATTTTTTCTTTGTGAAAAAGGTCCATAAGCAGTGCTTCGGTTAGGCAGATTTTTTTTTCCCAGGCAGCCAGAAGGAAAGATTAGCTTTGCCCTACATGTTAGAGGAGTGGGGAGCCTTCCTCTGTCTCTCTCTGGGTCTCAGAAGAAGTCTTCTAAAGTTTTAAGCCCTAGTGCAAATTTGGGTTTAGCTTGACATCAGGCGTGTGAGGTCTTGAGGGAGGCAAAACCTACAGAACTTAACCACAGTTCTGTTGGTGGATCCTGGACAAGACTGTGATTTTCCATTTCCTCATTAGTACATGAACATTATATGGAAGAGTTTTCTTTTCTGTTCAGAAGGGCAGATGATTCCCCTCCTCCCTGGGAATCACTGGTTTCCCTCTCCTTGTGTTATTTTTTAAGCCTCTTCTTCTTGGGGTCCCCCCCTCCGGTTCCAATTTGCTAAGGGAGGTTTTTTTTGGGGGGGGGTTGTTTCCTCCTCTTTCTGAAATGGCACAGAAAGAAAGAGACAGCACAGCACAAAAGCTGAGCAGCTCGAGTCCGCCTACTCGAAAGTAATTGCCGCTGCAATCTGTGAAGGTTTTTTCTCCCAAGCAAATGCGGGCTAATCCTCAAAGTGTCGGCACCGAGCAAGAGAGATGCGTTTGTGCTTAGAATTCGTATTATCATGTATAGTTTTGTGAGCAATAAGCTAAGCCCTGTGCGGCAAGGAGGATGTGCACTGGATTTTAGAAGCAAGATTAAAATATATTGTCATGCAAATGTGATTAATTGCGTTTATTCTGTTGAGGGTGCCATCTCTTCCCCCCTCCTCCCTCTTTATATGTTTACTACGGCTCAGCTGAAGCGTACACTGGCATTCATCTGCTAAGGTTCAGCCCCTACAGTAGTTTAGATGTCACATTGCGAACGGCGTCCAGCAATTCTGAAGTTTTTCCCCTCTTTTGTCTCTCTCTTTTCATTCTTTTACTTTTAATTGTTTTGCTCCCGATAGCAATTTAAAAAAAAACACCTTAATTTTTAGCGAGGGCTCTTGTAGTGAAAAATGAAACGGGACAGATGGCAACCTTATGTGTCTTTTTATTTATTTATTTATTTTTGGGAGGGGGGGAAAGGGCAATTGTTTCTGAACAGAAATGGAAGCTGCACGGAGGACCTTTTTTGCTGTTTGCATCGAGGGCTCTGGGTGGGAATTGACTTTGCCATCTAGAACCGAATTGTATATTGGAATTGTATATATCCAGAGCACAGACAGAGTTCCGACTCCTGTCCTCTGAAGAGGCCGGCCACAGAGACTGGGGAAACGTTAGGAAGAACACGGCCAAACAGCCCAAAAAACCCACAACAACCTTCAGATCCCGGCCATGAAAGCTTCCACGAATACATTGTCTATTAAAAGTTTCATGTCCACAGACTAGAATATGCATGTATGTGGGAGGGCCCGATATGTTTGCAATTAAAATTAGCCTTAAGCCTACAGACTCTGTGGCTATTATTGTTGTTTTCAAGTCTTCCTGAAAAGCTCCAGCCTTGAAGGCTTGCCTTTTGCATGCCTTTTCAAACAAGCTGCTTAGGGACTGCTCTTGCA